AAAGGTCATAGTATAGTTTTTCATTAAACGTCGAGTGGTAAATTCAATAATCTAATGCCCCATGACTTAAGACAAAGATACATTTATTGAAATACTATTTTGCGGATGTAACACAGTGGCGTCATGGCGAGTAAAATCGAATCTCTTGTGTTTGTCAAAAAGTGCCTTGGCTTAACCAATCACTGCCGACTGGGAACGGGGATGATCCGTGTCTGTGTGACATCAGGTTCACGTGTTGCGGAAATGTGCACGGACTGATCGATGGTCGCCATGGTGACATTACACCCACTTGCAGAAAGGAGGCAGCTAACCTTTAAAGGACTGTCTCTGGAGTTTATTTTATATCGCCTTCACAGCACATGAAAGAGGTCCGCATTCACTGCATGTCTACCTGGCACGAGGTGCCTGCGCCTGTAAGAAGTCTTAACTGGAGGTCACCTGCCCGATCACCTCTGGTCTTTGGCCCGAACTCGAGAAAAGTCAAAGACCCGTTTGAGGTCTGCGGTGCTTTCATGGGCTCATGTGCGTTAAAATTCCTTCAAAGTACAACTTGTAGACATCAACGTTTCCCTGATGGTATCTTGCGTAGGTGTGTGTGTGTTTGTGTGGGTGGTTGTGGCCAGCACAAAAAGAGAACATAAAAGGCTGCTAACATCTCTGTAATCCCTGATCGATCCCTCCAAAGCTAATCACCCCGCAGAGTAAACGGAGATCTGGCAACGCAGGATATCGAGGAGGAGGGATGAAGAGGGAAACCAAGATGAGTTATGAGGCCCGTGTGGAGGGCGGGCGATATATAACGCAGGGAGAGCGATTAAGGGAAAGATTGGGATTGATGGACGAATGGAACAAATTGGCAGTGACTGAAGGCCTGAAAGGAGGCAACCAGAGATGCGGGCAAGTGAATCCACATCCTAAAGAACAGGAAGGTATTTGCATGTGGAGTGGCTGATATCGACACGGCAGCTGCAGCTCTCACAGCTGGCAGGCTGACAGCACTGGGCAGGTGTGAAGCTCGGCACATTCAGAAAGTGACACTTAACGAGAGACGTGTGTGTGTGTGTGTGTGTGTGTGTGTGGAGGGGGCACCATTCATCTTAAACAGCCCTTTGTGAGGCAGCCTTCAAAGATGGAGACATACTGTATCGGTAATCTCTCTTTTCCCCGGCACATCCATCCGCGTCCTTCTTTTTAATTGCCGCTCCCTTTTCTAAAACTTTCTTTTCTTTCTTTTCCAAAGATAAACCAAAATGCACCAAAGTGCTTCATCGCCTGAACTGTGAACATTTACGCTATTCGGTCTCTTGGAGACCTGAGCTGCGTGGCGTCAGTGATGGCTGATCTCAGTCAGGATTTCAGGTCTCCATGATGTCATGTATGTATGTTGTCATGTTGGTACTTGGCCAAGAGGTGGGCCATCCTTCACTGACAAACCCAAAATTAATGTATCCATCAATATTTCTCTTAGAACTGCACGATTAAGTGGATGGCACAAATTTGAATGCATTGATCGTATCTTTGAATGTTGACATCTAATATTTATCACAGCAAGTTAAATATCCCAGAGCAAAAAACAAGTTCTGAAAGGTCTCGTTTGGAGAAAGTCTAAACTCTCGCTTTAGGGCTTTTGATTTTCTCATTTCTCATTTTCTTCTTTATTTATTAAGTTGACAAAGTTTGGACTGATTTCCAGTGTTTTTGTTTTTCAAATGCTTGCATGGTTATGATATTACGATACCATTCACATTAACATGACACGTTGATCCATGTGAACAGTCAAATTCTCTTATGCTCATAAGCTCATACTGCTGTGAGAGCAGTGCATTCTGGGAGTCATAATGCTTGCGCCTGTGCTCCCGGTCTTGTGTTACTTTTCAAGTACATTTTTCTTAATGCTAAAAAATGTATTTTTTCTGTTTACTGTTTTCCAATACTAGACGCGATTGGCCATGAGGCATCATGGTGGAAGCGTTGCTTATTGGCGTACAGAAATACAGGGGTGCGTTTGAGCTCTGCGACAGCTCAGTGAACAATGTTGCGTCCGATCCATCAACCGTCTATTGTTGCCTGTCATCCCGCCTCTCCTCCATCCATCCTGCTGGTCTCCTGCACCATCTAACAGGACACGAATGCTACAAAGAACTTAACGTTCATTTGAGAAAGTTGGGACATCATTTTCCTGAGGGACTGCCAGGACAGCAAACATCTGCTTGACATTATTTATGTATGGTATCCTATAACGTCCCCGTCCTAGTTCTAAAAACTGCTCCGAAAGAGTGTTTCACTCAGCCTTCATTTTTCATTAGCAGAAGGAGTCACACCTCAGCTGCAGAGATGCGAGCCTCTTCTGGCTGCAGATATTGCAGACAGGTGGGCTGATGGCAGCTGCTTCCTTCAGTCTAACAATACATCTTACTGCCTTGCTTCCTCCCCTCAGTCATCATCTTCTGCCTCACTGAAACAAAAACCTATACCGATTTATCACCAGCATTCCCTTTGAGTAAAATGGACTTTAATTCACAAATCAAATAGGTTTTTGTTATTCTTTTGTCCTGTATTTATTGACAAAGACAGATTTCTTTCACTGTATATCACAGTTAGAACTGCAGGCGTATATACTGTATATATATATATATATATATATATATATAGTCCTTGTACACCCGTATATTGGAAAGTACAGCTGAGAGACTGTTTGACAAACGAATGGCATTACACCACTATCACAGACGGGGGACGTACATATACCATGAATTATTCTTGTTAGTGAAAAGCAATGCGTCTGTGCAAGTTTCTACCTGTTGCTTGCTTGTTTTTGAGTGTGCACGCATGGTACAAATAGAGTTGCATCCAAAGCAGCAATGTTGGCATATTATAGGTGCCTGTCTCTCAACTCATTCACCGCAAGAGGCTTCCAAAAGGAAAACAAAGAGAGACAAACATAGAATGAAGCTCGTACAGATGCTTCGGTTTGTGTGTTTTGGTTAATTTAACAAATGTCACACATCAGAACGAACCTAAATGTAATGAATCCCTTAGCCAATGGGAGAAAAAACCCTTTATTACTGTGCTGTATATCCAATCAAACCATCCCAGAAAACCCCTTATTTCACCGAGTCCCTAGTGCTCATCCTGACATTCACTGTGGATATTTTGTATTTTGTGAGTGACAATGTCTAACAACTAATTTCATCCGGGGACTGATAAATATTAAGATGTGTGCTGCTACACGGAAAACATTAGACATATAAAATAAGGTTGTGTGCAAAAACTATTTCTAATTTTCTGGATATTTGGGATTATTTGCAGCGTATTTATAAATGTCAGGATTTTAATTAATCAAAAATCAGTTTCCTAAGTCTTGAATTCCAATGACAGCAAGATGACAGAATTATTGAAGAATCACTGAATAACTTTATTAACATTGCGATAATCTTAAACTCAACAAACACATGGTGTCAGCATTCAGAGACTACAGAAGCAGAGTGAGAAGTGCCAACAAGTCCCCATTTTTAGACAGAATACAAATGAAAAAAAAGACCTATATGAAATAAATTCCTGAGATGCAAAACAAAAGTTAATTATATAAGAAAAAAAAACATCTCTACGTGTGATTGTGTCACTCGTCATCGTTGAGACAATAGGGAGACTAGGCTGATTGATTCTAGTTTCAATATTGCAGACAAACAATGAGATGCGCTGAAACCAAACTGTACAAACACATGACGGGTGTCAGATGAGGAGCGAGATGACTGGACGGGGCCACGTCGTTTATATTATCACTGCTGATCAGGACAAATCCTTGAAGTTAAAACAAAATGTGAAAAAAATATGGAATATGTCTCAAAGAGGCTACTTTCATATTGATCCCTTTTTAAAATAATGGATGAAGAGTTTGTAGTTTTAGTCGATGTGGGCTTCAAATTTCATGAAACTGGGGACAATTGCTAGCGCAAAAAAAGCATGTGTGTGCCTGGTTGAGAGCGTTGTGGTAAAAAAGGCTGTAGCAGGACGGACACATAATGCAGCATCATCAGGTAGGAGCTTGGACGAGCTACGATGATCACCAGCATCATTAGCTTGTCTCATCCCTCTTTGAGAGAAACAGAGATATTTTGTCCATGGATTCTCTGATGTCCTTTTTTAAAGCTAATTTTTACATTTCAGTATACACTGAAATCTTGTGATCATAAAACATAATTGTATGAGTGCACTTGTTCAACATTGACGGTAATTTAGTAGTATAGTAAAATGTGTTTGTATTGGCTAATACAGGGACACCGCGTGTATCAATAAAAGTCACACATCATCAGTCCGATATTTGCAACCGCCAACACGAAGAATTTTCTCAAAATTGTGAGTGATTTTGTGCCAACGTTACTGCCCGATCTGCATAAATAAGCAATCTCAGCTGCACGCTTCCCAACGCCAGTCAAAGAAAGTGGGTTTGTTTGGAGCCAGGAGACAAAACAGAGGCAAATCGGTTAAATGGAATAGTGCCCAATGACGACAGCACGGCGGCTACATTAGCGCTGCTACTGTCTTGCCGCCAGGCTGAAATTAGAGGCCCATGATGTAGAGGATATATTCACCAAACATGTGCATGGTGCGAAGCAAGGACGCAAACATTTTAAAGCTTAGTTTCAACCGACAAGACAATATAAATCCAGACTAATAACTGAGCCTATGATGTGTCTACTATGATAGTTAATTCTATCATTGTTCAATAGTTGATGATGGTATGTGCCAGGCTGTATATATATATATATATATATATATATATATATATATATATAAGAAACTCATTAAAAAAGAAACAAATTAGTTCATTACTGCCATGTCAAAACAAATATTTACATATGGTTTTCAGAAAGAAAAAAAAAAAAAAAAAGTAAAACACACATTTTCTAAGAAATATCCATCAAATTAGTAAGAGTGCATAATTCAGTAAATGGCACCTGTTTAATTTCTAAACGCTAATTTAATCACTGCAGACCTGATAATTCACAAGTGTTCATTTAATAATCTGCTTCTCTGAATCAACAGATCCATTTGTCCACTCTCTTATTCCTAAGGTTGATATAAGGGCCTAAAGCAATGCAGAATCTGACTGGCACATCGTCGATTAAGACACAAGAACAAGAAACTAGATAGAGAGTAAAAAAAAGACAAATCATCAATGTGATAAAAGTACAGTATGTGATACAGAAGATGTCCAAAGACCAGAGCCAGTCTAGAGTGCTTTGGCCCAGAAGCTGAAGACAAACATGTGGTGGTTGGTTTAAGTGCTCTGAAATGAAAAAAAAAAGATGGAAATTGTGACAAAGCTTTTGCATTCTTAAAATATGTTTAAATGTAATATGCAACCTAAATTCTACATCGGTGGTGATAGGTTTAATTATTCCCAACTTGTGATTCACTCCGGCAGCACTGGAGACGCTCCAGAAGGACTTTACTTGCTGACCTTATTTGCATAATGTTGTAAATTGGCCACTGAATGGGAGACAGCTGGGCCCACTATTTTATTGCCCTTGGTAATAATTTGCTCCATCTTGGTAGATTAGTGCCTCGCCTTTTAACTCCTTAGTATCAGACGTCACATTGTTTATCGCTCGGGAGAGTAAATCTGCCAAATTCCTCAAAACTGATGAAAGACAAATGGCAATGATATATGAAAAAAAGCAGAAGTTGTTCACAAGGTTATGTTTGTGTAAGCGTGCGTGAAACTTTAAACGCCTCGGACATGAAGGCGATTTATCCTTGGATGCTCTTCGATTCCAATTTGTATTTTAAGGATTTCTGTTGTTTCTGTTCAGTTTTGTAGATTTTTCTTTTGTTTTGTTAGTCACATCTACCACAAAGCCCAATCCTTCGGATCGGCAGCACCTCCAGAGCGCGCCACGAACACAGGAAGCCGCCGCTCTCCAAAATGAAGTTACAAACACATCTTCATTGTGGTTATCTCTTCAATAACTTCAGTTCAAATAAATAAAAATATGAGCCAAACAAAAACATGCTAATGCGGATTACCAAAGTTTTGTCCTCACCCAGTATATACATGCCTTGTGCCAGAACCAAATACTTCTGTTTAAAAGTTCTTCAATAAGGACTATTTGATGAAAAGGTAAAGTAAATAGATAACGCGGCTAATATACAAATTTGTAGGAACCCAGAATTTAACAGCAATTTTCACAATCAACCACATTTTAGCAGACACAATACACAGCAGGGAGATTTGAACCACTTAAACCAAAACTATTACAATATTTTGAAGAAAAACATATTTTAGCTTACATTTTCAAAAAGATGCATTGTATTTCCCCTCCATGAATTGAATGAAAGACGGCCTTGTTGTCTTTCCACTACCCATTTGAATAGCACAACCATTCCCAAGGCAAATGTCATTGTTGCCAAAGGAACACAGTTTCTCATTCAGACATTTTTGTGCTTCTCTATTTGTCTTCAGTTTTAAGTTTTGGAAAGGAGGCCCCTGCAGGTCCACGACCCACCACTCACACGTCTATTTTACATTTTCTTTTTCTTTTTTTTTTGCTTGAAGACCCCATGAAATGGAAATCAAAGTTCAGCTCATGGCAAGCGACTCTGACTAAAGGAAAATAAGCAGAGCATTTAGCAAGGAGACATGTTGGTGATACAAAGCATTTAACTAAATAGCTTGAAGCTTGTTAAAGTAAAACACAGAGCTGCAAATGTGATATATAATGTGGCGTTGGTGAAATTGATCGTATCACTATTTGTATAAAATGTTAATATTACTGCATGTTTGTTCATAATCCAGCGTGTATGAAACACACTGTAAAAACCTGCCAGCACATCGAGTTTACAAAAGGTAACCGACAACGAAAATCCGCTATAAGATTGAGAAAATCATTTGTGTACTTATTTGACCAACTCGACTCTAAACGTTTAATTTTACATTTCAAAGGGTCCGTAAGCCTGAAAAATATTTAAATGTGACGTAACGTAAAAAATTAAAGCAAAAGCTAAACTTATTTCATTACAATTTTTACAGGCTTTAGAGAGTGGAGATTAACTATTTCTGTACACCTGAACCCAATATGTGAATCACAAACTATTAAGCGCTCAAGAGGACACACAAGGTGTTGGTGTTTCACTAAACTGCAGCTTCGGCAGTGCAAGAATATACAGACAAAGGTACAGCAGATTTAGCAAATGGTTTTATACACTTGGTTGAGTTTATTTGATGGAATGCTTCATTTAGCATCTGTGTGTGTTATCTGCTCTAAACAATACCACACCACCCTTTATTATCCCTATTCTAATAAGGAAAATCATATAACACACTTATCTGACAAGCCTTGCTACAGTGTTACACAAAACCTTCTTCTTATCTTACACGGGTCAACTGTTTAATTACAAGTCTATTTAGAGGGGACCTGGGGTCGGGGGGAGGGGGGTGGATCTAAAAGTCGCATATTCAGTGTGATAGACATGTATAAGGCGTAAACAGCAAAGAGTTTTATTAAAATAACAAAAAGACGCAATGTATAGTATAAAGCAGTGAGCTAACTAATGAAATGATGGTCCAGTGAACCCATCTACAAAGCATTTACATTGCTACCGACAGACGATACATGAAGGCATTGACAGAAGTTCAATGGCGTCTGTATTTTTAGGCAGCGTGTTTATGTGATATATGATAGGTGTTTGTGAGCGTGCGAGACAAAAGAGGACCTGTGTGTGTGTGTGTGTGTGTGTGTTGGGATGCCTGCTTGGAGGGAAACAGGGTGCAGAAGGGCTCATGTAAGAAGCAGTCATGGTAGTTACACAGACTTCCAGGCATTTTATGTCAAAGACGAGGAAAAAGGGGGGAGGAGGGGGACGGGGACGGGGAGGGGGGACACTTTCGGCAGCAACTGCCGGCTGCCTGTGAATACCGGCTGCCAAAAAACAAACAAAGAGAAAACACCAGATGTAAAAGGTAAAGAAAAAAAAAGAAGCAATAATCGGAAAAAACACTGAAGGGACTTCTCTGTCTGTGCACTGCCTGGTTCCTTGTTGACAGGGCGGGGAAGTGGTCAGACATGGAGAAGAAAAGGGGGAGACAGAGAGAGAGAAAGAGAGAAAGAGAGAGAGAGAGAGAGCTGCACAGCTCCCTCTGCAGTCTAAATGAAGTACTCTTTCTTCTCTTCTGCGTGCGCGTGGTTGCCCTCGGCGTTGATGATCGCTGTGTCGGCGTCGGGCGCGTCGTCCGCCCCTTTGGCCTCGTTTGTCAAGTACGTTCCTGAGGAAACGCGAGACAAAAAAAATAACCTGCATCAAGAAAACAAACAAGCGTCGAGCCGCCCTCACAGCCCGCGGGGGGAAAAACAACATCTGACGACAACACCGGAAATGCTACACAATTCATAATCACACTGATGAAAGGCTACGAGAGTACAATACGTGCAAATAGAACAAATAACTTTATTGTTCTCAACGACGGCTTAAATGACTCGACTTAAAGGTCGACGCCCAAACAACGTGATGCAGAACATGATTCTGTAAAAGTGAGGCAAAGTTTCTGAATTGTAACAATCCAATGAGTCGAAGACACGTGTCTATCAATGCTACCAATGTTTGGGTGCAACGGTAACTAAAAGCTCATTAAAGGGTCGTTTTCAACTAGTTTGTCAGAATCAGACTCTTTCTACAACATCGGACACTAACATTGCATTCCATGAGCGGCTGCCGCCCTCCGTGCTCTCGCCCAAGAGTCGACACATTGGAGACATTTTTTGTCCCCATTAATCAATTAAAACATAAATGCGTTAGAAAATAGTGTTCTAGCTGAAAAAATACCAAACGCTAGCTCTTAAAGTCTTCCGTCACTGCTGTTAGCTCCACCACCTGTAATTTGTGAAAACGGGAGGGACTTTGATGTCTGCAGGGAGAAGTAGGACATGCGCCTCGGGTCTTTTCCAACTGTGGTTTTACCTTTATGCCTGGCCAGGTATCTTCCCAGAACAATGATTAAACACAGGGTGACAAAGACCACCACGGCCACCACTCCTCCGATCAGGGCATGGTCGGTGCCGTGCTGCCCCAGAGCGTTGGGATCTGAGGGGACAGACAGAGAGACACACAAAGAGAGCAGATGAAGGCGCCGGTTGGCGAAGGTGACGGAGTGAGGGCAGAGGAGCGGCCAGACGGACAATACAAAACAGAGCGAGAGGGGAAAAAGGAAGATTATTTCCACCTCGTTCCTACTCTAATGAGCTGCTGTCATTCCTCTCTCCTTTCACATCATGCATTCGGAACAGAGCTGCTCAGCTCTCTGAGAATAATAGAATGGAGAGAGAGAGAGAGAGAGAGAGAGAGACGGACACCACATTGACAAAATGAGCAGCTACAGGCAGACGTAAATTTGGCTTGAAAAATGAGGGAAAAAGAGAATGAAAAGAGGAAAAAGTGAATAATTCAGGATCAGGCCGACTGTCCTGCAGGAGTCCCCAACATGCCAACCAGGGCGGCCGTGGAAGAGTAGCAGGCAGTAAATAACTCATCACACAGAACATAAAAAATAAAGACCTTCCTGTGTTTTTGTTGGAAAAACAAACTAGGTGTCGCTACAGGTCCAACTGCGGAAATGATAGCAGCATCATAAACGATGTCCCTATTGCATCAAAGGTTTCCCTTGACTCGAAAAATAGCTGATTTCTTTAATTCACCTCAACTTTCCCTCTCCTCAAAGTACAGGCCAGTAGGTCATTTAAGTTCAGAGTGAGGACATTGCACCGATGGTCCCCTCCGCAGGCGAATGAAAAACGTTGACAGCGTCGGCGGCGTTGGTGGATATGGGTAATGGGACGGCCTGTATTATTCATATCAGTCCGTGACACCTGAGAAATTAGCACCCATCTCATTATCCTCCTCCGAGTGCCCGGGCACATCATATACCACCCTGTCACCCTGTCACTCCGGTTATGTATGTGTGCCCCGTGATAGCGAGACAATGGCGGTGTCAGCGCAGGCCACCGGCGATGGAAAGGTGCTTTGGACAAACAGCCGCGTCTCCCGATGACACCGCTTCTCTTCAGTATTCTCCTTTTCTGCCTTCACTGTCCGGGCCATGTGGCCAAATTGAACAGCTGGCGTGCTCTCGCTCCATAACTCTCGGCGGTCCGGGTGACCAGGCCGTCACACTTCAGCGCCCCCCTCGGTGGGCCGGCGCACCCTCGTAGCAGCACACACCCCGGCGCACGCGGACGCGCGCGTGGCCTGGTTTCACGGCGCTGCAGTTCCGCTTGGTCAGTGGAGCAGAGAGTTGAGGAATGTTCCCCCCTCCATGTGTCAGGACGGTGATGCTTTTTTTTTTTTTTAAAGTACGCCCTGCTCCTGCGCCTTCAGCCTGGCCATTACAACCCAGTGCGAGCATAAGCCGCGGCCGTCTTATGTCTGCCTATGGATTGGTACACCGCTCCGTCACGCTAAAAGTCAAACGCTCGACTGCTCCTCCAGGAAGCCACCGAAGTCTGTTTGCGTACGTTCACAGTTTCTCCATCACATGGCATCACCGACGCCATTGATCAAAAGCTCCCCAAAGTCAATGAACGGCTGATAAAAAAAATAAAATGCAGCAGTGGTTTGCTTGTTTTGATGCTTTGAAGTAAGCTCACTCAACCTCTGTATTCAACCTCCGCTCCCCATTTCTCCAGAATGCGAGCAGCTCATGGCTTCATCAGCAGGCTCAACAGCCCAGAAGCTCCGACCGAGCGGTCAGTCCGTGGGAAGGTAGATGGGTAATGGCAGGTTTTAACAAGTAGGAGGAATGTTGACTAAATTGGATAACATGACGGTATCTCTGCTTCTGCTTTCTCGCTCATAGGAGTTCAACGTTGATCCAACTGTGGAGAGCATTGGATACAGAAGATTTAAACCAGATACTCCCGTGAATTCATCCCAACGTTTAATGTGTAAATACAAATTTTGGTGTGTGTGTATTGTGATCTTTTGTATTTTAGTCTACGGAAGGAGAAAAGTAGAGCGAGAGCGCTGAAAGACCCCGAAAAAAAAAAAGAAAAGGAAATGCCGAACAGGAAAAGGCTAAAATTTCAGTTAAAGCACGACACTGAAAGAAGACAAGGTGGAACGGGATCTAGACGGAGGTTCATACAGTTAATGGGTCCAGAACACATTAGCTTTTAATAAGGGCACATACATTCTTCTCTCTGCGATTTAATACGAGAGCGTGGGAGAGCAAACTGCTCTTCTAATATTTATAACACTCTCCTTGTCGCCTGGCTTTGGGACTCGCGGTTGTTTAATAAATTAAAGGGGTTCATGGCTTCTGTGGACTGAAGCAAAAACGCTGCTCTTAAACCGCGCCACTAACTTCTCATCTGATCGGTTTCCCTCACGCTGGCTTCATACGGGGTTCCGGTGAGAGGAGGATGTGATGCATTGATCTATAATCAATCTATAATAACAGCCTCAAAACCCATGTGAATCATACTGCACATCGAAATAAAAGTCAAATTTTGTGAACAGTTCACTGAAATTTGACAAAACCATACAAACTATGTTAATCCTAAATTGGTACCAAAATGGTGGGACATGAATTTGGAAATGATGTACAAAAGCTTGGGCGTATGTTTGCATATGGACGTACCAATGTGTGAGCCAACGCATCAAATATTTCTGCAAAGACACGGGAGGAGAAAGGAGGAGGCGCAGAATCGCTCGTTGACGGACTTCTGGTATGAATGTTGTTGCCAGCGACGAGGTCACCGAACTCCTGGCCTACGTGTTTATTTCCTAATAATCCGAACGATGCAGACTGCTTTAAACTGACAGCTATCAATAAGACGCCTATCTGCAGTGAGAATTTCATCAGAAGCTCCACACACTGTCCGGCGCTCTGGGATAAAAATGGCGAGACAGTACTGATGAAATAATGAAGGAGTTTGGTTTAGGATGTAAGATACGATTGAATACTTTATCAAAGCTGGCGAAGTTAACATTCACGTGAACAATAACACATAGTAGTGGGAATTTTCTATTTATGTATATGTTTTATAGGGTATGTATGTATGTTTTTCATGAAATAAACTATAAATATAACTTCATTCTAGTAAAAGCAAAATAACTCAAAATCTTAGACTATTAGAGAACGCATATGAGGTACATGTTGAATGAAACATGAGCAGAAATATGAGGTAAGTTGTTCAGAGGTGCATAAATTAATTCAAAATGATTTAATTTTATTGTTGATGCTGCGTCATGCACATTTAAGACGTCAAACATACAAAAGGAGTAAAAGTCCATCAGTCTTGGTGTTTTGACTAGGCAGAGAGACCATTAAATGAAAGGTTGATCTACATGAGAATACATATTTTGAAAGCAATGCAATGCTTGTTCCATTACATGTATATCTTTTGAATGGTCACCCGGAGCTGAGCTTAGTGCTTTCCTTTACAGAAAAAAAGACATTTGCACCATAAATTGGTGCAGGAAATGATCTGTTAGACATCAAACATTTTCCACAGACCCCCCCCTGCACCCTTTGCTTTATGTATCCCCACTCATGTTGAAACCAAATGTACGACCTTGGTGCTACAGGAACATTATCAATTCAAGTGAGGACTCAAATATTCCATCAAGCACTCAGCTGGAGAGAAATGATGAGTCTATATAAAATATCTGCCGGCCTCCTTCTTCATTCAGGTTATCACTGGCCATGCACCAATCTGACCCTTTGGGTTCTGAGTCCTGGGCTTTGGACCGACGCAGAGTACCCGTCTGATACCCGTATTTAACTAGGCTGTCTGTGTCGCTGTGTCAAATGTCTTTTAAATGTAAGATAACATCCGGCTTGAATTCAATGTTGCTTTTATAACTGAGGATATAACAAATGAACACATAGATAGTAATCTACTGCACTCAACACTGAAAGGTTTAGCTCTGTTTGTTTGATTATCTGAATCTGCATTAAGAATTTTACGTTAGGGTTGTCTGTATTGCCTGCCAAACTGACCACATGTTGTGTTTTTCTCTTTCTCTTAACCACCGGTAAAATGTTATGTTACTTAAGAGAAAAACAAAAATGGGAAATCACTACTGAATCCAAAAAATCTACTGTGTAGAAACAAAATAAAAGCAAGTCTTGGTTACATAAAAAGGGGGATTTTTCTGTATTTAATCGCTTCCTGAATGAGCCCGTGCGACTGTTTCCTACGGTGAGTCTGATTATTGGAAATAACTGTGACCAAAAACAGACCTTGATGCGTTACATCGAACGGCTTTGCCCTGCATATTACATGATTCAGCAATAAACACAAAGGGACACATATTACTCTGCATGAATCCCGCTTTAATAATTTAGCTAAAGCTAGAGACAATATAAAGAAGTACCTGCAACGGATTGAAAGTAAAGGACTGAGTTGTCAGACGTGCCTGCAGGCTTCACTTGTTTGACGAGTCAATTATACCCAATGTTTTGGCTGAGACTAGAACTTCCCCAATCTGCATCGAAGGCTGCGTCTACTGCCAAGATGAAAGAGTCCCTGGAGGCCGTGGAAGTGGGCTGAAAGACACGTGTGCGTTTTGAATGCACGCGCCCATGCATGAGACAGAGTTAGAAAGACAGAAAAGACAAGACGCTACTGAGACAAGTGTGTGTTTGTGTGTGTGTGTGTCCTGGACATTATTACTTGCTGGGTCAGAGTGGATTAATTAGATCCTGAAAAACAAATTACTTCTGCTAATCATTCAATGGACTTGGACACTATCTTGAATATTCAACCACCTCCTTCTCTCTTCTCAGAATGAAAACAAATTGTGGTCAGCAGGCTAACAGCATGAAGTTATAGGCAAAGCAAGATAATTAATCATACAAATTAATTACGTCTCCTGCGATAATCAATTCATCAAAGCAGCTTCATGTTCTGCAGAATCCATAACCTCTTCAAAAGAGTAAGGCAGGGAGAGATGACCAGTGACGCCAATGTAACCCCTTTGTGCTAACTTAATCACAGATATATTCCTGCTGCTTTTCAGTTACATAAATTGCATTATCCTGCTAGTTAGCTTGGAAGAATCGCACCGCGTGAGGCAACAGC